TGGGGACGCTGTGACGTTCCACGAGTGAGGGCAGCGCTCTGAGCCGAGAGAGCGAAGCGTGGCCAGACAAGAGTGGGTGATGCACCGAAGAAAGTAGTCCGTGGGGACGCAAAACGATGTAGTATCAGATCACCGGGACGTTAAGCGAATTTTTGGTCTCTAAAGTTCAGCGACGTAGTACAACCTGTATTAAAATTATTGGTCATTCTAAAATTTTGCCATCCAAGCTCTGTCTACATAAAGTTTTTCGACTATTATTTTTGGCTCATATATGTAACTTTATTCATTTATTGAAACTCATTTACATGCACACACACTCCTAAGGGCAAAGCTGAACTGTACATGTAATCAGAATAATGTACAAAATGATTACAGGTTGTAGCTCTCTAGTCCGGCAACCTCGGGACCTGACCGGTGCCGGACCATGGAAATTGCCGGACCATGGAAATTCACCCTTTTCCTGGATAGATAGTGACTTGTGCTTTTGCATGGAAGCACTAGCACCACTTTCTCTGCATCATGGTCTCTTTGAAGACATATTGAAGGGTTTAATGTCGTATAGTAACTTCTCAAATTTCGCGAGTTTTTAATTCAACGTATTGTATTGGAACACACAAAAAAATAAATAAATAAAAATTTTGACGGCGGAAACTTGAATTTCGACAGGTTTGAACGGCCCGCCAACGTGCAGACGACGTGCATAATCGTGTAAACAGCGTCATTTCTCTTATGTACAAAAGATTCATTATTGTTTATTACTGAATGTCTTTTTAATTGAATTAATGTTTTTGTGTGCAAAATGAGCAATACAATTCATTAATAATACGTAGAATATTAAAACACATGAGGAAATGACACAGCATTGTTTTCGTTGATTACAAAACCAGTGACTGACTGGTTCTTCATATAAAACTGAAGAAAATAAAACCTTGGTTGTAGCTGTAGTAAAATTAATATGGTTGTTTTAAGTAATGTTATATAATGTTAATAAATGGAACAATAGAAGTAGCTAACGATAATGGTAAAGAAAAAAGAGAGATCGCATATGTAAGTGCGCACACGTGAAAACATATCGTCATTACTTTACATAAGAATATGAAAGCAACACTTTTTACTGTTCTTATATATTTTAATTAATGTTTCTGAATTTGTTTTTATTGAATTAATGTTTGTGTGTGCAAAATTAACAATACAATTTATTAATAATGAGGAGACGAGACGGCTGCCGGCATTGTTTATGTTAAAGCTTACAAAACCAGTGACTGATTGGTTCTACATATAAAACTGAAGAAAATAAGACCCTGATTGTAGCTGTAGTAAAATTAATGTAAAAAAAATTAATATGGTTGTTTGAAGTACCTGTAATGTTATTTAATGTTACTAAATGGAACAATATAAGTAGCTGACCATTAATGGTAAAAAAAAAAAGTGAGAATGCGCGTATGTAAGTGCGCACATGTGAAAATATATCATCATTACTCTACATAAGAATATGAAAGCAACACTTATTTACTGCTCATATATATTGAAAGGTTAAATGTTGTACTCTGTATAGACAAGCAGAGAGTGAGAGAGAGCAGCCGAACTGCCGGATGTAAACAAACCTTAATTTCCCGCGGCTTTGTTGTTGTTGTTTTTTACGGGGATTAACCCACCCGGGCATAGGTCACTGACCCACATTGGGGCCTGAGGAGCAAAAATTTAATACTCCTGTAATAATAATAGTAATTCAGATGTTAAAAAAAAAAAAAAAAAAAAAGTTGCCTATCTATCTATTGGACAAACTTGAATCGTTCCGGCCCACGGGAGTTTCCGGACCACAGAATGCCGGACTAGAGAGGTACAACCTGTACTAAAATTTTTGTCTAGTGCAAACTATGGCATGTTTGCATTCAAATTAATCTCTATCTTATGAAAATTCCAGCAATGCAAATTAAATTCACCCCGTTCACTTCTATTAAATTTTATAAGCAAAAAACAAAAACTCAATCTAAAAGACATAAATTAACAATTAAATAATGGCATCCCCCGCGTTACGGAAGCCTGGGTTACGGAATTTCGCTCTTACGGAATTTGTAAATTATGACCAATATTTTCGCGTTACAGCCCGTAAATCCGCCCTTACGGAAATTGGGGTAAATTTTAACAAACACAAGGCCTCACACATGCCATTCAGACTGACAGACTTGACAAGTTTTACCAACCATAAAGACAGTTGAAGCTTTAAACATCACTCACAATGGATCTTGAATATTCCAGACATACCTAAGTTGCCTCAACAATTGCAACCCCAGTTGCAATATCAAATTCTGTGTCACTACTAAAAAATAATAGTCTCTGGTGCACTCTTAAGATTAAGAGAAAACGGATGACTCAGGGGTGCTGAAGTGAGAGAAAATGGACTCCTATGATGGGGCACTCAAATAAACATACACATAGCTGTATAATGCAATATTTTGCAATATTAACCCCTAAATTGGTGTTTTAAGAAGGTATATCATAAATTATTTAATGTACTGTATTGTATGTGTTTATAAATGTTTATTTTCATTAATAAAAGTGCTTGAATTACTTTTTTGGGGCCGAAAAAATTCCTTAGGAATGCATCTCCAGTTTTATAATGGAAATCAATGGGAAAATAGGTTTCGCGTTACGGAATTTTGCGATACGGTCAATTTTCCGGGAACGGAACCCTTCCGTAACGCGGGGGATGCCTGTATTTCACACCACAGGCACCAACTGTCAAACATGTCACTGTCACCCCTACCCCCCACCTTCCCGAGAAACGTTTGGGGGGAAAGCACTAGGCTTACAGTTTTAAACATATATAATATCTCAGACTAAAGTTGGGAGAATATAATTTGTATTGCTGGAATCCTTGCAAGACAGGGAATAATTTGAATATAAACGTCATATATTTTGCACAAAAGATAAAATTTTTGCTCTCTTTAATAAAATTCTTAAATGAGATCTAAAATTTGTATGTCTAATGCAAATTTTAGCTTGTTTATATTAAAATTAATCACTATCTTATAAGAATTCCAATAATGTAAATTATATTCTGCCCTGGTCGTTTCTATGAATTTTATGAGCTAAAAACAAAAACTCAAGTAAATAAACAAATAATACTTCACCACACTCACCTCCCGCTCCCCCTTCCCACGTTCACTCCCTGCCTTCCTCCCTCCCTCCCTCCCTCCCTCCCCAGACAAAAGTTTGGTGTTTTCGTTAGGCTTTAAAGTGTTTATCATATATAATATCTCAGACTAAAGTTACGAGAATATAATTTGCATTGCTGGAATCCTTGCAAGACAGCGAATAATTGGAATATAAACGTCATGTATTTTGCACGAGATAAAATTAATCACCTGTATCACATTACAGTAGTGATTTAAGAGTTCTAGTGTATATGTATGAGATATATAGTGATTTAAGGGAATTTTAGAAGTGTTTCTGACTTTATGCATTTTTGGATTTACTTTGTATATACTTTTCTGTGAGCTAGAACCAATTACCCAATATCCCATTGAAACAATTTTCGGTTAACGAACGACCCTCTGGAACGAATTGAATTCGTTAACCGATGGACCACTGTATTTATAAAAATATAGATTGTACACTTCAATAAGGAGAATACCATAATTAACACTGTAAGCAGTGAGTGTTAGAAGAGGACGGAGCTCATCTCAGATAAGCTTTAAATCAATGTCTGGCTATCGTGAGGATTGAGTAGATACTGACTAGAGAGCCGGCTTTAAGAGGGTTGACCGAATCATCTTTTAAGATGCTCTTGATAGAGGAAAATACCCATCACGTGATCTGAACACGATACCTCACAGCTCATGGAAAATTACGAGGGGTGATATAATTATATAACAAATGTATTAACCCGTATTTATAGAAGTACAACTGTGTATGAGACAGGGGCTTATACACCCCTGCATCACCTAGCATTCCTCTGCATCTCTTATCATTCTCCTGCATCACTTACCATTCCCCTGCATCACTTACCATTCTCCTGCATCACTTCCCTGCATCACTTACCATTCCCCTGCATCACCTACCATGCCTCTGTCGCCTACTACAATGCTTCAATCTCTGCTTGCAGTGCTGGTAAGTGTTAATTTTTTTTAAATTAGTAATTGCATGTAGAACATGTATATGGGGTGATTATGTTGTATTATTGTACGGGGGGTGGAAGTGCTATGATAATTCGGAATTTGGATAATTCAGCTGGGCCAGAACTCCATTAGTGCCAAGTTATCAATGGTTTACTACTATATTGTGTACATCGTTCACAAGAATATGATTCTCGCTCTTCCCCATCAGAAACATGATGACTTGACTTCCTGCCAGGGTATCTATACCTTAGGACCTGTCTTCCTATTTCCATTATCTCAGCTGGAAACAGAATCATGAATCATACCTTAAATCTGGGACCTTCCTTATAGAATTATTCGTACTTGTGAAGTGCTATTTAATGGGAGTGTTGTTTTTGCTCTACCTGCTTTCCCAAGATCCTTTACTTAGAGTGTGACACATGAGTGACCCACAGAGTTTGTGACTCGTTAGCTGTGGCAGAGCTGGATGCTAGTACAAGATGGGATTGAAAAAGTTTTCCTCTCAGGGATCTGGTGGTGCACTGAAGAGCAAAAGGCAGTTGAATCAGCATGTCAACATTTCCAATTGTCATGCTAGCTTGGTGTAGCTTTACAAGTACCATCGAGGAACTTGATGGCAATCTTGCTGGTTACATTTTTATCCCCCAACCATAAAAAGGGTTACTTTAGCATCAGTCCATCTTCTGCCATTTGTTCATAGTACCTAGTAGTTTCTAATCTATAACTCAGAGGTGGTAAATAAAAGAAATTGTGTCCCTTCCTTGGATATTCAGTACTGTATTATATTTTAGTACATGAGTATATTGTATTGCTGCCAGGATATGTTACTATGATAATGACAAAGCACTTTCCTAATTCAGATCATTCTATAATCCACAGGGCATTTTTGCATTTGTGATATACAAAATGCAGAAAAACACTGAAATTACTGGAGTATCTGAGGACACCAAAGTGCTTACAGAGTCCATGCCTGAAGATGAACGAGTAAATGAGTCGTGGCCTGAAGGTGGGCAGATAATAAATGGTTTGGAACAAGGAAGTCTTTCTCAGTCTTATGCTTAAGGCACTGCTGCAGCTTATAAAATTCTTACACCCCAATTCAAAATGGTAAGTGGGACTTATACCACAGTGAAGTAAATTTTATATTTTAGAATAAAAAATGGTACAGTATTTTGATGTGTTTTACAGAAAAACATTTTGTTTTGTTCACTGTGTTGTACTTTTTTAAATAACATATGAACCACTCAATGACAGATTCCTTAAAAACATTGGTAGTATTTTTATGATAGAATTGATGCACTTTTCACGCTTTAGTGTTCTGTTCATGAAAAACTTTTCATAAATCAAAATTTGTAAATCAAAGTACAATTTTCCATTGACTCGTTATAACAGCTGAGATACGTTCTTATTAGAATGAAAATCCCCAAAAGTCTTAAAATGCTACATAATATGAGTTTAATGAAAATTTTTGGTGAACAGTACACAACAATTATTAACCAACAACAAAAATCAAGTGAAATACATGCAATATAGTACAGTAATAATTATATACTTTCAAGAAACCTGATTCCTTGAAACTTGAGGTGGTTGTGTGGCTTAGGTAACAACTCTTAATATATTGTTTTAGTTTGTTTTATAATTTTATTGTAATGCTTACTTAATGAAGTACAGTATTGGGGTTGCCCCCAAAACACAAATGTTTTTCATATTTTAAGCTATGTGGCAAAAGTGACAATTGAACCACAATGGCACTTTTTACATACAATGTCTACCGTATGTATTTCTAGTTTCAGCAAGTTCTTGTGCATAGATTTGACATTAAATAATGTGAGAGTTGCTTTAAGCTTATCTAAAGATATTGTAGCTAATACCATCTCCTGTAACACTTATAACACTTCCGTACCTGTACTGTACACTGATCAGGTCTGGTACGGGAAGCCCCCGAGATGCCTGTGTCAGTACTTCAGGATCTGCTGATACTGTGAAAAAATTATGAAAAAAATGTAAGCCAAAGCTTCTCAAACCAGATTCTGCCTGTTTATTCAAAACTAATATTACTACACATTTTAGAAGCTGCTCTGCCAAGCAGTTGAATTTGCTGTTGCTTAGAAATAACCAGCATAAAAATGAGAGAAATAAAAATGTTTCCATCCATTCCCACACTCAAAAAAATTATAAATTCAACGTGCACATTATGAGTTAACAATATACAGTATACTAACTGAGAAACTTCATTCTCTTTTCTATCCTGCTCATAGAGATCTTAAAGCACATATTAATCGCTATATATTGGAGCATATACAGTACAGTGAGTTCTGCTATAACGCGTGTTTTGGTAACGCGAATTTGCTCTAACGCGATTTATGAATTCGGAACAATATTTGTATAACGCGAACGCTTGTTTGCTATAACGCGATTTTTGCTTACTATTTCTCCAATTTTGTGGTATTAACTGTGAATATGGTAAAGAAGAATATCTCCAAAAAGCGTTCTGATGATAGAATTCCCGGTGATTATCGTAAAAGAAAGGATATAACACTTGAAGAGAAGCTCGATGTTATCAACCTCAAAATCACCCTTCTCCCCCATCACTTTACATTCATATTTTTTCAAGGTAAAGTGTTAAATTTACTGTATGATTTCATTATTAGATATGAATGTAACATTTATTTAGACTGTGCTATCCTTTGTGTTAGGCTAACTACTAAATTTTTTTGATTTCGAGTAATCTGCACCTAACCCTATTTTCTCCATAAGCCCTGTTATTTCTATTACGCGATTTTCTATAACACGATATTTTACAAGAACACAATTATCGCGTTATAGCAGAACTACCTGTATACAGTACAGAATGGGCATACATTAACTATGTGCTGTAACCAAAACAGAAACATATAACATTTATTGCTGACTCGTATTTGAAGTCTTATTCAAATAAGAAATATACAGGGTATCCATAAATGTGCTGATTAAAGCATGAGAGCATACTGTTTTTAGGATAATAATTTATGGACACCCTGGGTATAATTATTTACTACTTTTTTTTTTTAATTAGTTTGATGGTTATCTCAACCTTTTCACAGGTGTTCACATACTGATTGATGAAGAAGGTAACTGTAACATATTTAACTACATATCAAAATTGGTAAATTGTACAATGTAAACCAAATATCCAGACCAATAAGGGAAGATATATACATGGTATATCACCCTGTCTGTAGTACATGATTGGAAGTGTTCTTAGTTGAAAACACCACTGTGAGTACAGGATGACTCTTATCCTTCAGTCCTCCACAAGAAAAAAATTAATACATAAACATAAAACTTGTATACAGTCAACCCTCACTTTACGCGGTCCCACATTCCGCGTTTCCACGTTTACACGGTGCCCTGCCAGAACCTAGGATGCTCACATTCCGCAGTGGGTGTACCCCTTTACGCGGGTGAAGTATAATTTTTTTATTTAGCTCATAAAATTCATACAAATTATTCGGCCAGAATATAATTTACATTGCTGGAATTCTTACAATTTGATGATCATTTTGAATATAAACATCATAGATTTTGCATTAGACATACAAATTTTAGATCTAATGTTTCCTCTGAGTAAATATGTTATCTTTTGTGAAAAATATATGACATTTATATTCAAAATATTCCTGGTCTTACAAGGAATCCAGCAATGTCAATTATATTATCCTAACTTTAGTTTGAGGTATTATTTATTACTATACCTGGTTTTCCCCCAAAAATTTCTCAGAGGGAAGAGCCAGTGAGTGTAGTGTGAGAAGAGGGGGAGGGAGTTGAGTCCATTATTTGAATGGACATTAACTTGGCGACTGTATTTCTCTATTTCTCTTAAGTATTAATTATGTGCATATACCATCATAAAATTAAGATGTTATTTTCACTAGAACATAGGTATTGTGTTGGAAAAAGTGGAGTTTGGGGGTCAGCTGGTCTCTGTTTCATTTAATCCCATATGTTATGTTATTCACTTTACGCGTTTCTCACTTTCCGCGGTACCCTGTGGGTTACATTAACCGCGTAAAGTGAGGGTTGACTGTATATAATCCCTTTTCCTTATGAATGCTTTGTGAAATAAACTATTGGTCACCCCTACTATAAGCAAGGCTATGTAAGGATCCCCTGCTTCATGAAATCACCCATCACTGGTGAAACAATAATGAAAGGCAATGACCAGTAAATCAATACCAAACAAGGGAAATAACCACAATATGCAGTATCTGTTGTATCACACAACTGTGTGATGTAAGTTTAGGGTTTGAGTTTAAAAAAACGTGTTACAATGTCACGTCCCTAAAAAGTGTAAAAAAAAACCCACGTGAAGGATTAAGTAATTTTTCCTAGCAATTAAGGGAGCTTGATTTTTCATTTATGTGCAAGTAGCATTTTTATGTTCTGTTTTTCACCAAACATAATTTCAATTTTCATAATACTTTTTTTTTTGCTCCTTTGCAAGTTTAGTTGTTTATCATAACCAAGAATATGAATTGATATTGAGAAAGAAATAGAAAGATTCATTTATTATGTACCATATTTGAGTAGAGTAAATGATAACTTTGGCCAGAGAGTAATAAAAGTGTTTGTAGTATTGTTGAAGAGATTACAACAACAGTTTTTGTCAAAATTAAAGGTTAATAAGGTCATGGAATTATGTTATGACATTTTAGTCAAACTAAACTGTATTGTATTGATAGTTAATATTTTATTTCCCTCTAAATAAAGTTTTGACATTGAAATGAGTTCTGTCTGTCTGTCTATTCATCTGAGTTTCATAATTCCAGGTTAAATTCAGAAACCAACTTATTACATAATAATAAAAGTTGATATGCAAATTAATATGTTTGTAAAAATTTGCTTCTTGCTGTATAGGACCAAATTTTATTTTATTTATTTTCACAGGATTTAAACATGTAAGTCCTCTTGTTTATTTTATATCATATATACTATATATGGGCCATGCATTATGTGTTGCTTTCATAGAATTATTATTAACCACTGCTGAATATAATCACCTGGCTTTAGCTAAATAAAATATTAAAAGTGGTGTCCATGTTGTGAAGAGGTTAACTCCTAAAATATGACAACTTTAATCCATGAAGTACAGTTTCAACATACTCTTGGGAATAGGCACCATCTTGAAAGGGAATAAAACATTGTACTTAAGTGGTTAAGACATACTGTATTATTAATTGGCCTTATTCACTGTACTCTAGGAGTTATAATAACAATGATAATATTTATTCAGCAAAGTTGTCATACAGGTTTACAATTGGATAATCATGTTTATATGCTATGCAGTTATACAGTTCAGCATGAATATAGACAATGTAGGTATGCGGTGCAATAAGACCGTGGGAGTACTGTACAGTATACAGTAGTTTCCTTTGTGCCGAGACAGTGCAGATAAACAATGGTAAACAGTTTGGCAACTTGACCAAGGATAGCTGACAAGGCTAACAGGGTCTTAGATTCTTGCTTAGGTTTACATGTGGTCTAACCAGTAACAGTATGTCTTCAGCAGTATTAGTGAAAGTTTATTTGATAGACTTAAACAAGTATTACATTGCACTTGGACTATCCATGGCTGACAGATCACTTCCACAGTTCTACATTCTGTGCTGTAGCTTCATATATTATGTATTTCTTTGTTTTAGCTTTGAGTTGCTTAATACTACTACGTATAACTGGATTTGATGTGGTCTGGTAACTTGTTCCAGTCTGTTATAGCAATCACTTAAGTAATCATGCTCAGGAGGTTGGCATCATATGCAATGATTGTAATCGTAGTCAAGGGGTTAAAGTGGGAAATTGGTACACATATTTTTATTATATGTAGTTACTAAAATTGTTCATTCCAAATTGGTGATTTCTAATCAGTGAACCCTGTTTAGTACTGACTAAAGGGATTGTTCTCTAGTATTTTTTGAATTCTTACAAGCCTTTTCCTACTGTGCTGCAAGATGGCCACAGTCAAGAACAAATACAAACTCCTTTTACTTTTCTTCATCTAGTCATTGAAGCTGCTCTGACATTCTCATAGACTATAGTGCGTTTGTTCTCAGCTGAGAAAAGATGCCCCTTCTCCTCCTCAAAAGTTACAACTGATTGGCCGTTGCAAACCTGTCCGATTATGTCCTGAAGTATTGATGTATTTCTAAATAAGTTAACAGTGGCGGGAAAAATGTGAAGTTGTTCGCAGTCATATTTCCCGCCTCTGCTGACGGTCGTATAATATTTCAATGTGATTCTGATCTTTAAAAATGTTGTTTTTGCATAATGTAGTATTACTGATACGTAATTTGTCTTAGTATGCCTTATTGTGGGTAAAAATAAGTATACACCTTTATTAAATGCATCCTCCGAAGGCGTGAATTTGCTACCAGAGTTTAACAGTTAATTCATGTACAGTATAATACTTCTGACAAACTTCCTACGTGCTTAGTTTGAAATAATGAATGTATGCATCTTTATAAAATTTGGCTAAATATCTTTCTCGTCAGAAACGGTCATCCCAACGATTATGAATAAACTTATTTAGAAATACATCAATTCTTCAGGACAAAATCGGACAGGTTTGCAACAGCCAATCAGCTGTAACTTTTGAGGAGGGGGCGGGGCATCTTTTCTCAGCTGGGAACAAAAGCGCTATACCTGATGTTATGCTTTCCTATCATTCAATCGTTATGCTTGGATTTGGTCTTCCATTCTACCTTTGAATTAAACAGTTTTACCAATCTTTCCCGTTCCCATTCTCTTAACACTGTACCTCCATTACCCTCCATTACCCCTTGCTAAACCAAAGTCAGCTTTGTCAGACACTTCTTTTATTTCCACATCTTCTCCTACTATAGTCATACAAAAAATATACATATTATCTTGAAACTCCATTTCTTGTCCAATCAGCGAAGATAAGCAACGCGGGTCTGGTGAGTACTTGGATGGGTTACTGCCTGGTTCTAACAACACCAGATGCTGCTGGCCTATGGATTCTAATGGAAACAAGCCTCTCATGGCCTTGTCAGTTGTCCTTGGTCAAATTGACTGAATAACAATTATTATTACAGTACAATATATTCAACGATTGCAAATGTACGGTATTTCACATTATACTGTAT